TATTTTTGTGTGATGATACGTTTTTAAGTTAATTTAACACAGGAATATGCCAAGACCAATTAACTTTAACTTTTTTTTATCACATTGAAAAACTCATTTTTAAATTATTTTTGTCCCTTTTCAAATTGAGCTGTCGATATTAATTAATTAATTTTTTTTTCCCGGATCCATTTGTCAAAGATCTTCTTAATGCTAATTATAGGGTAAACGAAAATTGAGATAAATTAGGATGTATACACAGACAATAATGATTTATGGTTAATCAAAACCATGTTTTTTTTTGTTTTGTATAAAACGAACAGTGGTGTTCCAATAATTATAAAAATTAATAAACCTGCACTCATTTACCCCGACACGCTTACTGCGCAAACGATTGTTATTTTTAGAATAAGTAATCAAACAAACGAGCTCTGTTTTTAAAAATCCAGAACGTTCTCAGCATGATTTGGTTCCCCGCCATCATCCAATGGACGTGTATCAATCTCGTATCTGTTCTTTTATCTATAAACCATGACGTCTTCATGACGTCAGCCACCTTAAACGTCATAAGTGACGTCAAGCACCATGACCGTCATAAGTGACGTCAGCCAACACAAAATAAAAAATACCGGAAGGATGACAACGGCCATTTGGTCAGGATTGATGGGGGGTCCCAACAATTATATGACGAAGGTGTCGAATCATTCGCCGTCAAGTCACGTGATCGGGTGTCGTTATAAAATAAGCTATGACGCTTGTATAGCTGGCATTTAATAAGAGATGTCTATCCCCCCCCCCACCCCCATAGGGGCTCACGTCTCGTGTTGCAGTTCACAACCTGGGTTACCGGCCTACTTTTACCATGGCAACATATATATATATATATATATATATATATATATATATATATATATATATATATATATATATATATATATATATATATATATATATATATTTATATATATATATATATATCGATGGTCTCGGTCGCAAACCGTCTAACTCCGAAAATGTAAATTTTACAGGAGAGACAAAAAAACTGATTATTTCCTTCTCGATCCTTCTAATACAAATTTTTTAAAATGATATCTCCGAAGAAACTCTCTACCGACTATACTGTAGCGTTTTAAGATGAGTTTTGTTAATATTTACAAAATTATAGCAGGTTTAAAAAGATAGACGGTTTGCTCGGTCTAAAATTCTCGGTGCAAACCGTCTATCTGTGCGCGCGCAGACTTAGCTGTTTTGAGCCGAGAATTTCGGTCTCAGCCGCGTTCGTTCGTTTTGTCCAATGAACGTGTTTTAGTTATGTTTATGTTTTTAAGCTATAATTAACACTTCATAATATTTAGATTATAGTTTTGGGCTCATATTTTAATTATGGGGTCAGTTTAATTTTTAGTAGAGAAGTTTTAGTATGGCTTTATCGCTTTCGACTGTATTCATTATGTCTGTATTTAGCATTAGACTTGTTAACTGTTAAAGGTTATGCTTTATTTGTTACATCTTTCTATTCTCACAGTTTATTTTACTTAATCTGGTGGGTGCTGGGTTTGTAGAATGATAATAGTAAAAACAGAAACCGTATTGTCAGATATATTATGAATGAGACATAACACACTAATCACATTAATACTGACTTAATGTTTACTTATTTTACAAAAATGTAACACAAAAAAAATGTGTTTATTTTTAAAATTTATTCTTTGAATAAACGGCACATAAAGAAACATCAAAATGGCAACATATTTTTAAAATCAGGGAAATCATCATAAAAAGGTGTGTTTATTACTTGCTTTTAGGTGCTCACATATGACAGCTTTTAATTTGTTTTCTGCTCTTGTACAACTTGACAGGGGCTACAGATGAGATCATAATCTTACGACCCTAGCTTAGCAATTGCCAGCTATCTGCTAATTCACTTTGAAGTAGATAGTAGCATCATGGTTGTACTGCAGTGCACGAATATCTGTCGCATTGAATTCTTAATAGGTTGGTCTCTTGTATGGTAAGGCTGGTCTTTTTGAGAGAGGTTAATGTCTAACGTCTGTTATGTGAGGCTGGTCTATTGTATGTTACGACTGATCTGTTGAGAAAGGATGGTGTCTTGTATGGTGGACTGGTGTGTTGAGAGAGACTTGTCTATTGTAGGATAAGACTAATTTTTTGAGAGAGGCTGGTCTCTTGTATGGTAAGAATGGTCTGTTGAGAGAGGCTGGTATATTGGAGGGTAAGATTGGTCAGTTGAGAGAGATTGGTCTTTTGTTTATTACGACTGGTCTGCTGAGAGAGACTCGCCTCTTGCATGGTAAGAATGGTCTGTTGAGAGAGGCTGGTCTGTTGAAAGTTATTGGTGTCTTAAAGGGTTAGACAAGTTTGTTGATATATTCTGGTGTCCTGTATGGTAAGATTGAACATTTAAGAGAGTTTGGTCTTTTGTATGTTACGACTGGTATGTTGTGAAAGGCTGGATCTGTTGAGAGATGCTGGTGCCTTTACGATTTGTCAGTTGACAGATGCTGGTGTCTTGTATGGTAGGACTGGTCTGTTGAGAGAGACTGGTCTGTTGAGAGAGGCTGGTCTGTTGCTAGAGACTGGTCTGTTGAGAGAGGCTGATCTGTTGAGAGAGGCTGGTCTGTTGAGAGAGGCTGGTCTGTTGAGAGAGGCTGGTCTGTTGAGAGAGGCTGGTCTGTTGAGAGAGGCTGGTCTGTTAAAAGAGACTGATATGTTAAGAGAGGCTAGTCTTTTGAGAGAGGCTAATCTGTTGAGAGAGGCTGGTCTGTTGAGAGAGGCTGGTCTGTTGAGGGAGGCTGGTCTGTTGAGAGAGGCTGGTCTGTTGAGAGAGGCTTGTCTGTTGAGAGAGGCTGGTCTGTTGAGAGAAGCTGGAATGTCGAGAGAGGCTGGTACGTCGAGAGAGGCTAGTCTGTTGAGAGAGGCTGATATGTTAAGAGAGGCTGGTATGTTGAGAGAAGCTGGAATATCGAGAGAGGCTGGTACGTCGAGAGAGGCTAGTCTGTTGAGAGAGGCTGGTCTGTTGAGAGAGGCTGGTCTGTTGAGAGAGGCTGGTATGTTGAGAGAGGCTGGTCTTTTGAGACAGGCTGTTCTATTGTGAGAAGCGTGTCTGTTGATAGAGGCTGATATGTTGAGGCTAGTCTTTTGAGAGAGGCTAATCTGTTGAGAGAGGCTGGTCTGTTGAGAGAGGCTGATCTGTTAAGAGAGGCTGGTCTATTGAGTGAGGCTGGTCTGTTGAGAGAGGCTGTTATGTTGAGAGAGACTGATATGTTGAGAGGCTGGTCTGTTGAGAGAGGCTGGTCTGTTATGTGGTAAGACTGGTCTGTTGTGAGAGGCTGGTATGTTGAGAGAGGCTGGTGTGTTGAGAGAGGCTGGTATGTTGAGAGAGGCTGGTGTGTTGAGATAGGCTTGTCTGTTCTAAAATTATTCATAAAAGCATTTACTATAGCCAACTAACCATGTCGTTGAACATGTACGCCAAACATTTTGTAACCTACCACATAAACATTTCTTAACACGTATCTAAACCCTGAATCTAAAGCTAGTAGTGAATTAACAATAATTAAATTTATTGCACATTCTTGTGGAAATATAATTCGAATAATATTGTTTTGATTTATATTTAGATTCTAGAATGAAGATCTAGTTTCAAAGGATTGTATTAGCCTAAAAAATTGTAAACAAATCAGTTTGGTTATTGATAATCTGGAAATAGGCTATATTAAACAAATAATATTTGTTTATTATTCTTTAAAATGATAAAATGTAATAGAATAGTTGAACATAATTAATCAAATATCCTTACCTATAAGTACTGTGACTGCTGTGCTGTAAAATTGTGCGATTACGGCATGCGACTGCGTTCCCGATCAAAAGTATACTGACAAATATAGCGATATTCGTTTTGCGCCGAGATTTTTAGCGCTAGAAATAATAGGCGGTTTGTTCCAATGATTATATCTCAATAATCATTCTACAGATTTCTCTAATATTTTCACGCATTATGGGGAATCATTTTGGCTTTTGATTTATGTAAAAAAAAGAAAATCGAATTTTTTTGAGTTAGACGGTTTGCGACCGAGACCATCGATATATATATATATATATATATATATATATATATATATATATATATATATATATATACATATATATATATATATATACTAGCCGTCCCGGCCAGGCCCTGCACTGGCATCTTTGAAAAACGTATCTGTAAAGGACCATGACTTGTGTGTTTAGTAATCAGCATTTATCCGGCATTGCCCACCCTAACCACAACCAACCACAAAACAACAAAACCAAAACATCACCAAAAAAACAACGCAAACATAACACAAACGCAAATACAAACACAAACGAAAAAACAAAAACAAACGCAAACACAATCACAAACACAAAGAAAACACAAACGCAAAGAAAAAAAAGCAAACGAAAACACAAACGCAATGAAAAAAAGCAAACGAAAACAAACCCAAACCCAAATCCAAACGCAAACACAAAGAAACCACAAACGCAAAGATAAACTCAAAGTGTCCATAGTCTAGCCCGGGGCGCCAAATCGCACCATGACGACGTGCGGCTAACCTCCTGATTCAACTTAGTAAACGACTATGGTACACGAACTTATTCATAGTCTTTTGAACTCACTTACGCGAACGTAGGTACCATAGCGTACACGGGAAGGCCCGGGGCGCCAAATAGCACCCTGTCGGGGTGCCGGATGACGCCCGGATTTTATTCACTTAAAGACTATATTAACCTTTCTTATCCATAGTCTATCGCACTGTTTAAAACAAACTTATGCAGCATAGCGCTCACATGATAGCCCAGGGCGCCAAATCGAAGAGAGAGAGAGAGAGAGAGAGAGAGAGAGAGAGAGAGAGAGAGAGAGAGAGAGAGAGAGAGAGAGAGACCGTAAAAATAATATTTCTTTAGATACTTTAGATTCTTCCCTATTGTCCCTGGGTAATTGCATTAAGTTATTGCTGTTTATTATTCCACAGGTTAACATTGGACGATTCAATCAACAAATCTTGTAAGTATAGCTTTTTAAATATAATTTTCTATTGTCAAGTTTATTTATTTCATCTTCCAACTAAAATGTGTTTAGTGTTTCATCCATGTTAATGTATTGTGCGGTACTGTAATGCATACAAAATGGGAGGAAATTCGGTAAATATTTACCGTCAACGCTCATTTTAAATCTGTTTCCATTAGCAGAAAGCCCACAGCTCGAGTGGGAAAATATTGTGAAATGATTTGTGAGGTTGTATGTGTACTCAGCTCCAACTATTGTATGTCATTGTATGTGTGCGTCATTGAAGTTGTGCGTCATTGATCATGGGCAACATTGAACATGTGCGTCATTGAACATGTGCGTCATTTAGCTTGAGCGTCATTGAACATGTGCGTCATTGAACATGAGCGTCATTGAACATGTGCGTCACTGTACCTGCGCGTCACTGGAAGTGCTTATTACTGTTTATGTGCGTCAGAGTTGAAGCGAGTCACTGAATCTGCGCGTCGCTGGATATGCACGTCACTGTACATGAGCGTCACTGTTTATGTGCGTCACACTTAAAGCGAGTCACTGGATCTGCGCATCACTGGATATGCGCGTCACTTTAAGTGCACGTTGCTGTTTATGTGCGTCACAATCCATCGAGTCACAGGTTGTGCACATAAACCCTCACAGAATATGTTGATACAACTTTTTTTTTAACTTAAACATTTGAAAGTGTTTACGTTATTATCTCATTACATATGAAAAAGTCTTTACCCTAATACCCGCGACTTGTAATCTACTTGAATGCTAGTGACTGTTAATCCACCATGTTGTGCTACACAGCTTTTGTGACGTAGACCACAACTCACATTCCACCAAAGTGCACGCCAATTGAGCCAATGAAAGCAGAGAGGTGGAAAAAGTCATCAGTTTAAATTGAAAGACAATCGGGGGTGTTGTGGGGTTCTTGTGTCGCCATGTTCACATCACGTTAGCTGTAGACCCCACTGTAACCAGTGGACTAAACACCAACCGTGTTCTGGTGTTAGAAATTTTTTGGGCCCGGGAGAATCGCGATCGCACTCGTCTCCGATATGAGATGAAAACCACGCAGTTCAGTTCCCGAGGGGGTATCCTACTGGTGGCTTTAATATTGCTTGGAGAGTATGCCAAGCACGGGCGATACTTCCATCAATTGTTTACTCCCGTAGTTATGGAGACTGGGTTATCTTTCCTGGGTAAGCATAGTAGCTGTTGTAATCTCCCTTTGTAGACGCCATTTTTCAAGTGCGTGTAGAGATAGGGGAAAAAACAAAAGAAAATAAAGATAAAGACAAGTGATCTACGTACACGCTGAGTTTAATGGAATATATGTTAGTTGAGTATTTGGCCAGCGTGAACACAGACATTGAAAGTGATTGTTAGTTTGTGGATATCGTTCATGGCCAGTATTGGATAACAGCGATAAGTTGAATCTTGATCTATACAACAAACGTTGTTCAAGTCGGGAACAAATGTAAAATACAAGAACGCGAGTTAGAACAAAAAAAAATTATAAGCAACACCAACAGTATTCGTTAACTATCGTCTGTTTGTTGAAAAGTTCCCTGATCCGCCATTTTGTTTGGGGGAGGCGCCTTTTATCGGGGGACACAATTCAGGGGGTACTTTTATCCAGGGGAAGCAATTAGCACCGTTCTCTGGTACTACTCAAACACACCGTTGTTGGGTGTTTTTTTTTCTCCCATTGTCTGGCGGGAAATGACCGGCCATTGATGTGCGAATTCCCTTTGTTGCAGGCGGCTGCCACAGCTCTAGTTATCTCGATTGGCCGGTCATTAGAACGTCCCCCATAAGCTTATATGTTGTGAGCGCCAGACTATGTGGCTATGTTAATAGACTGTTTGTGTTGGAACAACAGACGGAACTTTTGCCAGGGGTTTTTGCGAGTGTAGTTTATATATTAACTTAAATAGCCTATATATATATATATATATATATATATATATATATATATATATATATATATATATAAATTATATAGATTTATATATATATATATATATATATATATATATATATATATATATATATATATATATATATATATATATATATATATATATATATATATATATTTATATATATATATATATATATATTTATATATATATATATATATATATATATATATATATATATATACATATATATATAAATATATATGCCTACATTAAATAAAGGAAGTTTTGTTCAAGAACGATAAGGTCAAAAGGCTTGCAATGGCTTTTATAACTTTTATAACTGGCAATAGGCTAGGAGAAGAAGGAAATAAAATGCCATAAAAGATAGCGAGGAACACAACAAACGATAGAAAAATATTGATGTAGCATGTAGCAGTTGCACAGGTTCTACTTGATGTCATCTGTGTTGATGCTAGTTGATGTCATCTGTTTTGGTGGTAGTTGATGTCATCTGTGCTGGTGTTAGTTGATGTCATTTGTGCTGGTGTTAGTTGATGTCATCTGTGTTGGTGTTAGTTGATGTCATCTCTTCCTGTGTTAAGACGAATGCTGACGTATTCATCACAAGAGCTACATGAGCCATACATGACAAGATGTGTCTGTGGAGGGGGGCTGGCGGGGTGGCGCATGAACCAACACGTGATATCTTCAACGTCTGCTGACAACTTCATGTCAACGTCATGTGACTCAGGCCAACGTTACAACTTAATGTCAAGGTCATGCGACTCAGGCCGACGTTAAAACTTAATGTCAAGGTCATGCGACTCAGGCAGGCCGACGTTACAACTTAATGTCAAGGTCATGCGACTGGGGCCGACGTTACAACTTAATGTCAAGGTCATGCGATTCAGGCCGACGTTACAACTTAATGTCAAGGTCATGCGACTCAGACAGGCCGACGTTACAACTTAATGTCAAGGTCATGTGACTCAGGCCAACCTTACAACTTAATGTCAAGGTCATGCGACTCAGACAGGCCGACGTGAAGCGAGTGCAGGGAATTATGTCCAAATCTCCGAATGTCTAGATCCAAACGATAAACGTCTCAGCCGGATTGTGCTTCACAAAATTGTTTTGTTTTTAAGTTGTTGTTTTTCTGACGAAGGCCGTCTATCTAATCGTCAGGTGCCCAGCGCCATCTTGCGGGGCATTGTTTTGATCTGGCTGGCGCTGTTATGTAATATTTTGGCTCTCTTACTCTCTCTCTCTCTCTCTCTCTCTCTGTCTCTCTCTCTCTCTCTCTATCTATCTGGTAGCAGGCAGTACGCGTATTATTTCATTAAAAGATATACGAGACCAGTTCAAAATGATAACACACACACAATCACAGAAACACACACACACACATATGTATATATATATATATATATATATATATATATATATATATATATATATATATATATATATATATATATATATATATATATATATATATATATATATGAACATATGTTGTAAAAAGTACCTTTTCTGACCAGTTACTCATTTCCCCGTTTCTAAGATATTTTACTAAAGCGCATGAAGTTGAGTTCATCTGTTTCTCTGACTTTGGTAAATCATGAGTGCGTGTGACCAGGACTTCTGTCAGATGCTTATCTGAGCTGGGTGGACTCATAGCCTCAAGCGAGAGAGATCCGAACTCGACATTTCCGGCTACTTATCAATAGCTCTTCCACTCGGCCAGGCCGTCTTTTTGCTAATCAACGTAATGATATTCTGATGTTTTTAGCGTTTTAATAATCAAAATTATAAGTCTTCAAAATTGTATTTATTTCCATGTTCACTTTATGGTGTAAATATATTGACAACGAAGTTTGGGATACAGTCGGCCTATGTGATGCGTAAAGGGTTAATACTTATAACGGAGGCTTTGTCACACATATGGATTTTATAAAAAATTATTTTCTATTTTGTGCGGGGGTGGGTGGGTGGTGAACGTACTACCCCGGAGATGCCTGAAAGAAACTGCGACACACACATACACAACAACAAACGTTCTTTGATTGTCTCGATTCTAAAAAACTAAAACTCATAAGCTTTTGTTTCGTGTTTTTATTTTTATCGTCTCCCTGACTGTCATTCTATTGTGCTCCGCCCCCAGCCCACCACCCCCACCCCCCACCCCACCATAGTGGTATAATCCATCCATGCCCCAGGAAGTAATAAGGAAGAGTGCCGAGATTGTTGCGTCTAATTTCTATGACGTCATTTCCTCGCAAATTTCCACCGAGTTTCCGAAACTTCTGGTTTTTTTTTTTCGCCTGCGTTTTTTTTTTTAATAATCAGGATTATAGCATTTTGTTAGATTTTCCGTTGTTTCTCTGGGTTTTCTCTTCCTTGTCTGAGGCTTGATGAATACTTGGTTGAAACTGAATTGGTGTTGGTGTTGTGCGATGCACGCGGGGTACTGTTTTTCAAGTTTCCATTGGTCAAGTTTGGAAAAGACTACCGCGTGTATTGGAATTATTCTAATTTATTACATCTATAATTGTATCCAGTGATTACACAATTCGCCGAGTGTGAGGGTATTATAGTTTTTAAAAAAAATTACTTTAACAAAGTATTTAAACATCTGCATATTTTAAAATTCTTATAGTTTAAAATATCTATACCTCAAAAGAATTAAAAGCATATACCAATTTTAAATACTATATTATTAGGTAAAACTTATTTCAGAGTTCTATTGATACAGGAATATTTTAATAAATTGATAATTGGGTAGAACCACACAAAACTAACATAATTTGTTTTTAAATTTGATTTTTGAAGATTGCGTAGATGTATCTGAAGCAGAAATGTGTATTACAAGATATAAACGTTATGAAGTCCGTATACATAGGATGCATCGTACGGTGATGCTACGGTGCTGCCCATCTTTTATTTTCTTTATATTATCAAACGGTTTCAATTCAAAATTGTATAGCTTTTGGCATCTACTTCAAACAATTCCACAGAGAATAACATGAGACCGCCCCACCCCCTACCCCCACTGTTTTGTTTTTA